ACAAACTATTTGAAATGAAATTAGGAAAATAATCCCATTTACAATAACAACAAAAGAATACAATACCCAGGAATAAACTGATTTGAGGTGAAAGACTTATATGCTGAAAACTACAAAATATTGATGAAAGAAATTAAACATCTCCTGCAATGTCTGCTTATAAATTTTAAAAGATATTAAACAAGACACAAATGAAAAGACACCTCATGTTCATGAATTAGAAGACTCAATATTGTTAAAATGTCCATAAGACCAAAAGTGATCTACAGATTCAATGCAATTTCTATCCAAATTCCAATGACATTTTTTATAGAAATAGAAAAAAGCAATTCTAAAATTCCTATGGAACCACTAAAGATCACAAATAGTCAAATTAATCTTAAGAATGAAGAACAAAGCTGAAGGCATAACATTTCCTAGTTTTGGAATATATTACACAGCTGGACTCGGTGGTTCACACTTGTAATTCCAGCACTTTGGGAGGCCGAGGTGGACAGATCACGGGGTCAAGAGTTGGAGACCAGCCTAACCAACAAGGTAAAACGCTGTCTCTACTAAAAATACAAATATTAGCCAGGTGTGGTGGCACACAACTGTAATCCCAGCTACTCAGGAGGCTGAAGCAGGAGAATCACCTGAACCCAAGAGGCAGAGTCTGCAGTGAGCTGAGATTGCAACACTGTACTCCAGCCTGGGCAACAGAGTGAGACTCAGTCTCAAAAAGAAAAGAAATACATTCCAAAGCTACAGTAATTCAAATAGTATGGTACTTGCAGAAGACAGACATATAGAGAAATGGAAAAGAATAGAGAGCCCAGGGAAAAATCCACACATACATAGTCAATTGATCTTTGGCAAAGGTGCCTAGAATATACAATGGGGAAAGAAAAGTCTCTTCAGCAGATAGTAGTTTTTGTTCCTCCAAAGAAGACATACAAATTTTCCCAAAGAAGACATACAAATGGCCAGCAGTTATATGAAGAAATATTCAATGTCAGTCATCATCAGAGAAATGCAAATCAAAATTGAAATGAGCTATCAGCTCACATCGGTCAGGATGGCTTTTTTTTTTTTTTTTTTTTTTTTTTTTTTTTTTTTTTTTTTTTTTTTTTTTTTTTTTTTTTTTTTGAGACAGAGTTTCACTCTTGTTGTCCAGGCTATGGTGCAATAGTGAGATCTCAGCTCACTGCAACCTCTGCCTCCTGGGTTCAAGCGATTCTCCTGCTTCAGGCTCAGAAGTAGCTGAGATTACAGGCATGCGCCACCACACCCGGCTAATTTCATATTTTCAGTAGAGACGGGGTTTTGCCATGTTGGTCAGGTCTCAAACTCCTGACCTCAAGTGATCCACCCACCTCAGCCTCCCAAAGTGCTGGGATTACAGACGTGAGACATGGTGCCTGGCCAGCTATTATTTTTTAAAAGGTAACACATGTTACAGAGGATGTGAAGAAATTGTAACCCTTGCACACCATTGGTGGGAATGTAAAACAGTGCAGCCACTATAGCAAACAGTATGAACCTTCCTCAAAAAATTAAAAATAGGACTTCCATGTGACCCAACAATCCCACTTTTGGGCACCTATCTAAAAGAATTGAAATCAGGATCTCCAAGAGACATTAGTACTCCTATGTTCATTGCAGCACTGTTCCCAATAGCCAAGATGTGGAAATAAGGTACATGGACATTGGACAGATGAATGAATATGAGCCAGTCACAGAACGATAAATACTGATTCAACTTATCTAAAATAGTTAAATTCATAGACTCAAAGAGTGGAATGCTGTTGCCAGCAGGTGAGGGGAGTAAGGAGGACTTACTAATCAATGGGCATAAAGTTTTGATCAATCAAGATGAATAAGCTCTAAAGATCTACTATATAACATTGTACCTAAGGTTAAAAAAAAAATCATGTATTGTACATTTAAAAATGTGTTAAGAGGGTAGATCTTGGCCAGGTGCGCTGGCTCATGCCTGTAATCTCAGCACTTTGGGAGGCTGAGGCGGGTGGATCACTTGAGGTCAGGAGTTCAAGACCAGCCTGGCCAATATGGTGAAACCCCATCTCTAGCAAAAATACAAAAAAATAATTAGCTGAGCATGGTGGCATGCGCCTGTAGTTCCAGTTACTTGGAAGGCTGAGGCAGAAGAACTGCTTGAACCTGGGAGGCAGAGGCTACAGTGAGCCGAGATCACACCACAGCACCCCAGCCTGGGTGAAAGAGCAAGACTC